ATATCATCTCATTTAAATAACTACCTATACAAGGAATTCTTAATCTCCTGCCCTAGGCAGTTCATGTCAGTGGTGTCCTGGTGAAACCATCCACACACTGGTGGACCAACTAAGAATGGTTCTTGGTTTTTTGCAACATGCAGACACAACCTCACAAAAAAACCCACAAAACTCTCCTTTCTTAGTTTCCTGTCTTTTGACTTAAAAAGCCCCTAAAGGGCTGTGGCTATGATTCAGTTATCCAAATTACAAAGGACCAAAGAATTTTCAATGCTTTTCTCTCTGCCTTTTCAGGGGCTCCCAAAATGCTCAAGCTGATGCTGCATGTTGAAACCTCACATCTTGAAAAGCTTTCTTTTGTCTCTATAAGCTAGGAGAGTAATTTGTTTCATTTCTTCCTTCCTAGAATTTATGTTCCCTCCCTACTTGTTATAATGATATTTCAGTGTGTACATCAATATATTAATTTAATCTTAGTGTCTTTTCCATGGTATGATCAGAAAAATTTTGCAACCATTTGTAAATAGTGCCAATTCTAGAACACCTGTATTTCCTATTTGACAAAATTGTCCAATTCTAGGAAGAGCTAGGAACATATCACTTAAAAGGGGGACTTTTATAAAAGATTTCCATAACTGAACTAAATAATATCTGGGCTTGTTCTCTCCTCCCCATGGCCACTGAAAAAGTCTTCTTGCTTTTATACTATTAAACTTCCATTTTCTAAAACTATGGATTTCTTCCAGCTGCCAATTGGGAGTGATCCCTTACCTATGGACACCTACTTTGTGTCCAAGAAACTATCAGGGAAAACACTGTCTGACCAGGCCAAATGAAAGAGGCCAGGAATACTTTAACAGGAAATAGCTTAGGCAATTGAGGCAATTGAAATTCCAGTTTTGGGAAACGTTCCCTGTTACTGTTGGACAGGATTTACATCTTGGCACTGCTTGTAAACCCAAAACCCCCATTTTGTGCACAATAGCTTTCCACTAAATTTTTGAGGCCCAGATAAGAGCTTTTGTAAAACTGACACATGAAATGCCTCCTCTTTCATTAACATTGCAATAAACTAATATACAGGGAAAATATTATTACCTTTTCTTAAATTTACTTTTTGATCTCGAACTCATGAAATTTCTGAAATAGCTTCAGATGTGCTGTTTGCAGCCTTACATTATTCTCGATTATATAGCAGAGCAGTTTGTTCCAGTTCATTCTTCATTTACAGGTCTTCAAAAGGACCCAAAAAATTTGGTTTCATGATTGAACCGTGGGAGACTGAATGGCAACCAGATCCTTCAATACAGTGTGAGTTTCTTTTGCTAAAGCTATAGAAGATATATATATACACAGATATATAAAATAAATAAATGCATCATGCAAAGCAATACCTTAGCACCAATGAGAACTTTTTTAACACATTGAGCAGGCATGCACCTGGTTGAGAGGCCCACATTACATATTCAACATTTGGCATCTCTCTTATACCAGCATATAACCTAATCCCAATTTCGTTTATAAAACCCCTAATAAAAAGCCAGGAGGTTGCTCCTCTGAGTCTGCTGTTCTACCTTTTATCTTTTCCTTAGTCCTCTCACTGTAATCCAAATAAAGAGCCATGATTTCATACCTGCCTGCCCCTGGTGGGTTACCACCTGTTTTGCAGCTGGTGGGTCTCTTTCTTTACATGAAACAGTTTTCAAACCAGCCCTTCCTTCTGGCACCACGAGACAAATTTTAGTCCCACTAAAACTTAGTGTCCAATTGCCTTCACATAATCACAGCCACAACCCCAAGCCCTCCTGTAATTATTCCAAAAAGACAAAAAACTGCAGCAGTTTGAAAACCTGCTTTATTCTTCCAAGATTTAATGGTCTGTTTGCTCCTTCCGGAGACTACATATTGTGACATTTTGCTCAGTCTAACAGATGCTACAAACAACTCTTCTTAAAGCTGTGACCCTTATTCTTGTTTACTGGTTTTGCATAATGCAAAAAGACATATTAACAGTCTCTCCAGTAACTCAGAATTACTGCAATGGATTTATTCTTTATCTAAGTATTTTTTTCCACATATATAAATTTCCAGTAAACCTCAGTCCTATTGTAATGAAAACTGAGACATGCCCTCATAATTATCCTGATTGTTGTATGATTTCACTTTTATTTTTTATTACAGTCCTCTAATAGCAAATGTATTTTTTATTTAAGAAGCTGAGAAGGAACAAGTATCTTTTCAGGACAAATAAATAAGGGCATTTCAGAGAAGATTTTATAGGGGAATCTGTCGTTACCATGATTTAACCTTCATTGAAGAATTAACTGGTATGCCAGAAGGACAAGTTCAGATATCATGACATACACTGAGATATTCAATTTCACTGTATTAAGAGAATCTATATAATTCAGATTTGTTGTTCAGCCAAGTATGGAGGTCATTTAAACATGGTTTTACACCTGATTTCTGAAGTTTGCTGTTAAGATTTCTAACGTTTGCTGTAAAGATTTTCTTCTTCAAAACAAAACACATTAGCATCTTTCGGATTTCACCAAGGGCATTTTTGATTAAGATGGCAAATCTTGTTCCTTGCACAAACGCACTATATGATGGTGTGCGACTTGGACTTGCTAAAAGTGCTTTGTAACAATTATCATATTCGGCCATGCTCATTGTATTTCATACTTGTTGCAACTCGGGTGCTTAAACAGGTATCTTCAGTTTTGTTGTGATGGCACGTTGATAAAGGAAGAGAGATGCTCACACAATCTGCTTAGCTGATCATCTTCCTCTCCTCTGCATCTGCAGCAGCCACCGAGCACGGACTGCAGCTGCCTTGACTTTATGTGACAAGAAACCAGACTGGACAGGAGCAGTGAAATGCAAGGAGCTCGGTCCACATTGAGAGAACAGAGCAAACAGCAAAACACAGCACCAGTGCTTTTCCTAAAAATACAGATGCTTTCTATACCTATAAATTTACCCCTTTCCCCTCTTTATCTCTAATTTCTTTCTTCTGACAGTGCTATTTCTAAAAAGCATTGTTTTGGAGTGCAATCTCTATGAAAAGTTGCATTTTGCTCAGAGGAACAGATCACTGACCCACAAAAGCCTTCTAGAGTTACCAATCTGCCTTCTGTATGCACTCAGGGATTCTCCAAAGTTATCTAGGCTGAAGAGATCTTAACAAAGTCTTTTGTATTATACCAACTGCAGAAGCTTCAAGGGGATGTTTATGCTAATGATTCTCTTTAATCTCCATATAATTCAGGCCAAGTAAAAATAGATCTTTTACAAACAATGAATCATCATGACTTTAAGTGGATGCAGTTCTGCCACAATAAAGTTGAGATCTCTGTTCCAGAGCACCATTCTTTACCCTCTTCACGTAACAAGTATCCAACAAGCCACTGACAAAAATCAATATAGTTGATTTTTCTTCTCTCCTCTTACTTTAAGTGTCAGTACTATGACCAGAGACAAATAAAGAAACAATTCCAAGTACCATACTAATTTGAAGGATAATTCCAGAAACTAAATAGAACTTAAAAATTTATTTTAATTTAAGAAAATTAGTCACGAGCATGTCAAGTGCAACAGCACAACAGCACTGTACAACAGTAGCCATGGTAATTGCTTCTTTGAAAGAAAAGAAAAAAGTACCTAGCCCCAAAACAGGCTGTAGACCTACTTTTGCTGCTGTTTAACCCTCCTGGAATGTGTTAGAACTCCAAGACACACGCAGCAGCTGAATTGATTATGAATGATTAATTAGCATCCATGTTACCTTGCAGATCAGATCCTCCTCACAAGTTTTTGCACAATGGTATTCCACATGCAAAGATATCTCCTAGTATCTCACTACCAGGAGACAAATAGCTTTGCAAATGTATCTCAAAGGTCAAGCAGGTCGTTGGTTGTCCATAGACCATTTTACTCAAAATATTATCACTAAAGGAAACAGAAATAGTTATGTTGAAATCCTAAACAGTAATTCAAATGGAAGTTAAAAAAAAAAAACAAAAAAAACCCCACAGTCTAAGCAATTGTGTACTTGCTTTACACAATTCTTGTAGATTCTTTGTATTTTGTCAACACCCTTATAGAATTCCCTTAAGACAAGTACATAAGAATAAGGATTGTATGCATTTTTCTCAGAAAGAAGGTGGAATAAATGTACAACTGGGGAGCAAAAACCAACTATTAATATCAGAGGTTTAAAACTTAAGGGAGATCCAGGTGCTGGCTGGTGAAAAGTAAGCATAAGATAAGCTGAAAGATTGTTTCCTGGACTTTTAAAAGCTTTCATACCTTAACTTCTCTGGCATTTGCTTTTGGATCTTATTCTATTTTATTTTGTTCTTTTTCAATGGAAGGTAACAGTGTGATCCCTGGGTTAACTTACATACCTTACTAACAGTCTCAATTTACCCAAATTTCAACCTACAGAACTTCATGACTCTGTTGTGCTAGGATCCTATAAAAGAATGCCAATGTCAATATTGGGTAGCACGATGAAAACAAATCCCCAGCAGTGCCCCAGATGTCACACAATTGCCATGCAACCTCTCTTACACAGTCACATAGAATTCCAACACAAAAGTCTGAGCTGGAAGATCCACAATGATCCTCAAGTCCAACTCATAAGTGAATGACCCATCTGGAGCCTGAACCCACAACTTGGTGTTATTAGCACCATGCTCTAAGCAGCTGAGTTCATCTCAGGGTCAATGCACAATGAGCAATTACAGACATTTTTAAGCCCATTATGTTTTAAAAAGTGTTTTCTTAAATTATTGCAATATATACACCAATTAAACCAATGGGTACAGATGAAAATCACCAACCAGAAGACAGATATCACAGCTGTGATACAACCCAGGCAAAGAAACAGCTCCTGAAGGACACCAGGAACAGTGAACCCCCTAAAGAGTGAGCTTTGCTAAATTTTCCATAATACTTCCTAACGAAACCAAAGGAGGAGAGATTTCCATTAGATGTTAGGAAGAAATCCTTCACTGTGGGAGTGGTGAGGCTCTGGTCCAGCCTGCCCAGAGAAGCTGTGGATGCCCCCTCTCTGGAAAATGCTCTGAGTAAACTGGTGTAGTGGGTGGTATCCCTGCTCAAGGCAGGGGGTTGGAACTGGATGATCTTAAGGTTGCTTCTAACAAAAACCTTTCCATGATTCTATGATTTCTGGGCAGCAGAAAAGACTTCTAGTCTAAAGGAGTCCATTCTCTGGTCAGTCATTTTTCCCAGTCCGCAGGTCACTGGACAAAGAGGTCAGTGAGAGGTGTTAAGATCCAATTATTAAAATTGTCTCTGCCAAAATTAAGGTGCAGACAAAGCTAATTTGCTGAAGTCAATACTACAGATTTTTATTTAACACTAAATGTGGGGTGGAGAGAGAGAGACAGAAAAAAAAAGAGGGGAGAAGAGAAATAAAGTGATAAAGATAGTGGATCCTGACAGCATCTCACTGGTCCTCAACTTCCAGTCCTCCCACTGGCAAGGCTGGAAGTGATGGTCACAGTGATCCACCTGAGGTCAGTGAAGCCTGAAAACACAGAGTACCCTGGGTTTATATTTGCACAGGTTCATGTGGGAATGCCCAGCCACCTCCCCTGGAGTGGCAGATTTTACACTTAATGATTTAATACTTTGGATCAGGAGACACTTTGGGAGTCTTTGATGGAATATGACACTTTCTAAGACATTGCAGCTGCCTCTTACATCATCTTACATAACAGGTAAAATAATCCAAGGTCCACACAAAATATTTGAAACACCTTACCTGCCTTTCTCCTTTATAGCTATTTTGGCTTTCAGCTTTAGTTTCTTCCTCTTTCCACTCCTTCTAGCTTTTCCTTTCTGCTTATAGTAGTCACCTTCTTACTACCAAACACTATTCTCTCTCCAAACTAATAATTATCAAACTGTTACATTCACAGAAGAATTAACATTAAAGTTTGGCTCCAATTTTTTAAGTTACCCCAGAAGTTACTGAAGAGAACATCCCAGGAAGTACCATTACATAACCCTAAAGGCCTGAAGTAATCAGGCCTGGAGAAGACCCACTAAAGAATACTTACTGGACCTTACTAAACCTTGGCATAGCCTGTCTAGAAAGTTCTTACATGAACAGTACACATATGTATTAATAGTACACATACATATTAAGATCAAGTTGCTATTGCAGGCAAATAAGGGGACAGTGAGTTCCTTCTGCATTTCTGAAGGAGCCCTTAATGAATGCAGAGACATCAGGGGTTCACTTTGCTCACCAGTAACTGAAAGAAGTATTCTGTGACATGTGAAAGAATTTAAGGGCCATCTAGTGCTAAGAGTCATCTTCCTACTTAAAATTTTGTTTGTAATTTCTGGCGATCAAGAAATCCTCAGAAGGGGAGATATTGTGATGATTTCTTGTTGTGTAAGAAATAAGAATAACATTTACAGAGCATGACCATAGGAATTACTCTTTGACTCCCTTGGCTCAGATTAAGTGTGATATTTTTTAAGTTTTCAGATCTTATTGCCCAAATGAGTCAGAAAAAGCCTATATCAGGTAGATTAAGTTACTTTGCATGTGTTGCACCTCAAGCACATCAGTACAGGGAGTTAGCTTAGAAAATTCTGGTGAGCTGCCATGTGACTTTACCTCAGGTTCCTTGATTTTTACATGTTGTTATTCCTTTGAGTTTTCTTTCTCAGTGTTAAATATATTATTCCCTTACATTACTTAAACCTGTTTACAAATTTAAACTTATGCCAGGAAAGTATTTCCTTACAGTTTGCCAAAAAACCTTCCAATTTTGTGTACTTACTATATTCACACCATGATGACCACTTTAATTGTCCATGGATCATGATTGCAAAGATGAGTGGTTTGTATTTACTGATTACTTTCTTGAAAAATGAACACTATCCTCATCATAGCCCTTTAGTAAATTATGTTCTGTGGGTTTTTTTCAGTAGCATACATATTCCAGAAAAATACTAGAACACAAAAGGTGTCTATTTCTTTCTCACCTTGCCTTCTACTTTTCTTTCACAGTATTTCTGCAGTGCTGTAGAAAATAAGATGCATTTTCCAGATTTAAAACTATTTTTAATTGTGTCCTCAATGAATGTCCCATTGTGCAATGTGCTACATACAATCTTACTACTATCCCAAGAGAAAAAGTGAGTGTGGGGAATTTCTGCAGTACCTTTGTCTAGATTAGATTGTTTGTAATGGTGACATCTGTGTATAAAGTACCTTAGGAAATGTTAAAAATTGATCCACTTTGGTAAATTACTATTAATGCTTTCATCTACATTTAATTAAAGAGAAGTCTCATACATTGCTTGCCTGACAGGTGGGTAATAACAACAACATCCTGACTTTGTTGTCCTCTTCATTTTTCAGTTTCTGTAACCACTCCATTCTAAATGAATGAAATGCAAAAGAAAAAGGATTAACCTGCCCTGTAGTGGTTTGATTCATCTCTGCTTTGCCTTATTGTTCTCCATTGCTGCCTAAGCTGGATGGACCTCCTAAAACAGAAGGAACAGCAGGTTCCTTTCCCTCCCTCTGCAGAGGGACAGAACAGTAACTGTGATAAGAAAGGACCATCTCATGTGTGCCATCATCACACAGGTCATTTGTAACTTCCTTTGAATCAGCTGAAGTTCCTGTGGAAGTTTCTTTGTATTTTTCAACAAATGGCCCTGGTACTTAATACTTCGGAAATTATTCACCAATAAATGTTTCAATTTATACATTACTCAGAAAAAAAAATGTTAGCAAACTGAAAACAGGTCTTCCCATAGAAATTTTTGCTAGACATTGTCATTGATTCCATGTTTTGTAGAAAGCCATCGTGCCAAAATAAATCATATCAAATCTACTATTAAGGCACTTTCAATAGGAATGGGCTGTAAAGAATAAACTCTAACAAAGATTTCCTAGAGCTGACCAGCAGAGAGGGATGTAATAACTCTGTGACAACACAAGTTATCTCCATCAGCAAAAGTGCACCAACATATTAAAGATGCCTGAAACATCACTGGTTTGCATCCATATAGGTAACATCTATGTGAAGTTATCAATTTTTTACTTTTTCCCTCAAAAACATATTCCTAATTTTTGTTACATAGGAATAACATTGCAAAGCAATCAGATAGCAATATTTAAAATTGTAGGCTTCAGCAATCTGTATCACAAAACCAACTCACATAATGTGAATGGAGTTCTTAAGCATCTGATGAAAATTTCACAACTCGATTCTCTTTTGTAGGTGTTCTTACTATGTGCACAAATTAATATTGACAGTTTGATTGAAAATCAGAATAATCTTTTTCAAAGCACACTGATCTTAGCAACCCAGGCTGTGAATATATTCTTTGAGAAGATGGTCAAAAAGCCACTTTCTTCCTTCTTTTCCCCCAAAAATAATAAATTCAGTTTGTCCATTATGAGTTCATTTTAATAATAGATTAAGAAGTGTACTGGTGTGGGGAACAGAGGCACAGTTACTAGTATTATTTCATATCAAGATACTACTGGTGGATGTTCAGATGGCCCTGTTACAAGTTCTATAAATCAGTGTATCTTTATCTGGTTGGCCTGCTAGAACAATGCTATTTTGGGGGGGAAGGTGGAGGGAGGAAGAAATCTATTTTTCAAGTAACAGATGGATAAACAGATGGGTGGAAAAGTCCACTGAATAGTGTGTTGGCTGCCTGTCATTGCCTGTAGGACAGCCAATAAATATCATATGGATTAAACCTGTAAACTAACATGTCCCTATTTAATGAGTTCTTTCAGAATGGTAGAGTTTTCTTGCCAATACTCATATAAATGAAATGCCACTTTGGATAAGGTAAATTTTTGCAAGGAGACCAAACACCTAAGCACAGTTTGTTCTAAGATTAATAACCAGAAGCAAACAGGGAAGGAAGGCACGTGGTAAAGTGTGTGCACTTTTACAGATTGTCTGTGAGGTGATCCTTTTGCACATCTGGAATAGATTCCTGCAAATAACTTTCAGTATGTTTACACTTAGGATAATGTTTTTATAATCCTTACATCTCTTTCTGTGAGAATTTTACACTTTTTTTTCTCAAGCTTGTATAAAGTGCTTAATTCAGTAGCCAGTCATGGAGATACCACCCCAGACCAACAGCAGAACATGTATTTCATCCTCTTTTGAGAGATTCTCTCTATTTTGGGCTAACATAAAATTAATGGAAAAAAAGCTGACATGACATAAAATTCCATAGTTACTGGCTCTTAGGCTTTCCAGTGTCACAGACATCTTGCATTACAGACAATGACAATTTGCCTGTCTGCCAAAGCCACCATGGCTGTGAGGAATGGATGGCTCCTACTCACTTTAGAACATTCATCAGCACATGGATCCTTTTGTGTAAGAGTAGTTCCTTTACTTTTCTTCCAGCCTACTGTCTAATATTCACTGGGTAATTTCTAGATCTTCTGAGACAGTTGACAATTTTTTCCTTATTCAACAAATCATCACTAATTTTACAAAGAGAGGTAAAAGTCTTCAAGGCTCAGTTCCACAGGCCTCAAAATGAGACAAAGAGAAAAAAGCTGCAGTGAAAAATCTCCCTTGAAGAGGAGTTCAGTTCTCCAGAGCAGTGCTCCAGCGCTTCCACCACATGGGAATCTTATTCCTGAATTTTTTGAGAAAATACAAAAGCAAATATTCAGGTATAATAATGACATGTGAATTTAAGTGTTAACATCACTTTCAATAACTTTTCACAGGTAGTAGAAATCAATTTGCTGATTTTCAAAAAAATCTTTGAAAACAGTATTCCTGAAGAGAAAGTGCAGGACTTGTTCTTGTCATAAAACATAAAATATTTAGTTGTGCCTAGATGGAAAAAAATAGAAAAATAAAATGCAAAATATTTTAGCTATGAAAATATAATCTATAAACTCACTACCAATAAGAGGGGAGAATTTCATGAAAAGTTTCTAAAAATTTATAGACAGTTACAAAATGCTGACAACAGTATTTTGCACCACTATCAGACATAAAACTCTGGATGTACTCAACAGAATGTTGTATGACAACAGGAAGATGATTATTGTTGGAAAAGGGAATAAAAAATGAGTATAAAAATCCTGAATTGGTGAGAAAAAATATTTGGCCTAAGGTAGACATGGTGAAGATTATCTTTAAAATTCAGTAATACATTTTGCCATATGAAAGTATCAGCATGAAGGCTGCTTTGCCTTTATACAACACCTTTTACTTGAGGAGCTCCAAATCCTGTAAAGAGCTTCATGATATTAATTAGTTTAATATTACTCTATTTATATGAAATGTAATTAATGTGATATAAGAGGAAAAAAACCATTAGCACTTTAAAACAATAATTTTAAATATTTTTTTTTTTAAGTATAAAAGGACCTGATCAGTTTAGTGCCCCAAAGAGCTTGAAAATGAGAAGTGCAAGGTGTTCAGAGGAAGGTTAGGGCTGCAGTGTTTTTCCTGTACCATCTTTTGGAGAGCCCAGGCAGAGTCAGGTGCTCAGGGATGTAGCAGAAGACAAAAGACACAACCTACCCCAAGGACAGCACGTTCCTGGTATCTGCAGAAACACAGGGACACTGGCACAGCTGCCCAGAGAAGCTGTGGCTGCCCCATCCCTGCAAGTGTTCAGGATGGATGGATGGAGCTCTGAGCAGCCTGGTGTGCTGGAGGGTGGTCCTGCCCATGGCAGGGGCTTGGAATGAGATGACTTTTAAGGTCCCTTCCAGCCCAGGCCATTCCATGATTCTGTGTAAGAAAATGCAGAGCACTGAAGTGATGTCATGAGAAAACACATGCAAGAGATTTTTGATTGGTGTTTGTACTCTGCCACAGGAGCTTGTCCTAAGCAGAGACAGGAGACAACACAGATTTTGGCAACCCGTTGGTGCAAGATCACACACACATGTGATGCTGAGTCCTCAGTCTAACACAGTCAGTTATGTCTTTGAAAGCCTCCAAGAAGCCTGTGAATATCTCATTAGAGCTTCAGAGTCTTTACAAGGCTCCAGCACACCCAGCAAGACCACAGTGCTGAGCAGCCCTCAATCCATGCTGACACTGCTCCAGTGTACCACAAACAGGAAAGTACAGTCTTTTAAAAAACAGCTCTCACTTTTCTTGCCTCTTTGGGCATATGAGGCTTGTGCTTGTGCAGACATTACTTGGATTCAGTCTTGCCTAGGGCTGGAGAGTTCCCGAGTAGCTGGTTCGATTTTCTTACACACTACAGCAGCCTTTTGAGTGACTGCTCACCTCTAGATCTGATTGAAGGGGAGAATTAAAAGTAGAATATTCTCTTTTAGTGTAATGTAACAAGTAACCATGCATCTTGCTGTACACTTAGTCATCCCTCTATGTGTGAATAAGCCCTCCTGTGAAAGAGCTGCTCTACTCTGGGCATATTATTATGATTGACAGAATCTGTCAGAAACCATAGTGAGGTTTTTGGCCTCTTTTCCTTAACTTACATGTAGCAGAAAATGAATTTTTTTAAGTAGTAGGAAAGTTAATAAAACCACTAGAAAGATAGGTGACATAAAGAAACATGGGCACTATATTTTTACCTCTCAAGACTGGAGAGTGTCAAATTTTGCCAAGCAAATCTTTGTCCAACTCTTTCTTTTTTAAACACAGAAGCCTTACACCCCTGAAATAACTAAATAATTCCATAGAAGCTTAGATTAAAATTAAATCAGGTTTAGATGTGTTTCTGAACTATTTCTTTCTCCTTAGTTGTTTAGTCTCTGGAGTCTTAGAAGAGCCTATGTCCCAGTTACTTAATGCAATTCAAAGTCCCCAAAGTTTGACAGCATCCAAGATTTCAAAATACAATCACAGGACACGAATTTATTCTACTGAATGAGAGCAACATGGAACAATCAAATGTTCTCAGCCTGCTGGATACATACAGATTAAAGCTACTACTGTCTTAGTATTTTTGTATCCCAGCAGGGTTGGGTAATTCCATAGATCAGCAAAGGCATGAAGTAACTCTTCACACAAAACTACAAACAGTGAAGATTATTGCTTGCCTTTTCAAAGTTTTCTCCTTCTATTCTCCTTTTCGACTGATTTTTTCTCAAAAGCAGACTTTGTTTTCTCAGATATCAAGAGAACTTTTTTCATTTAACTACTTCAGTCTTGCCTTTTCACACAGTGCAGTTAGGTGCATCCAGTTCCTCCACCTCTTCAGCTTTCAGCCTAATGCCTGCCTCCAGCAGATTAGACCAAGATGCCCAACAACTCAGCTAACAGGTGATTAGATTATTGTACAGGTTGATGCCATCTCCAGCTGAGTTGACCTCCGAAGTTATTTAACCAGACACATAAGGAATCCCTCTAAAACTCAGCCATAGAAAACATAGCTGAAGCACAATTCCCATAATCACAGAATCACAGAATATTCTGGGCTGGAAGGGACTCCAAGGGGGTCCACTCTTGACCCTAGGCAGGACACCCCAAGGGGTTGCATCATGTGCCCAAACACTTTGCATTGTCCAAACACTTCTTGAACTCTGCCAGGCTTGGTGTTGTGACCAGTTCCCTGGGGAGCTGTTCCAGTGCTTATTCATCCCCTGGGTGAAGAAACTTTTCCTGATATCCAGCCTAAACCTCCTCTGACTCAGTTTTAGGCCATTCCCTTGAGTCCTCTCACTGGTGACAGTGCCTGCCCCTCCTCTTCCCCTCCTGAGGATGTTGAAGACCACATTGAGGTGTGACCTCAGACTCCTTCAGGCTGAACAGAGCCAGTGCCCTCAGCTGATCCTCACACAGCTTCTCCTCAAGGCTTTCACCTTCCTCGTGGCCTCCTTTGGATGTTCTCTAATGGCCTCATGTCTTTTTTATATTGTGGCACCCAAAACTGCACATAGGACACGAAGTGAGGCCACCCTAGCTCAGAGCAGAGTGGGACAATCCCCTCCCTTGCCCAGCTGCTGATGCTGTCCCTGATGTCCCCCAGGACACAGTTGGCCCTCCTGGCTGCCAGGGCACTGCTGACCCATATCCAACTTGCCATGGACCAGGACCCACAGGTCACTTTCCACAGAGCAGCCCTCCAGCCTCCTGTTCCCCAGTCTATACACACAACCAGGGCTGCCCCACCCCAGTTACAGAAATTGGCACTTGCCTTTGTTGAACTTCATAGGGTTTGATTGCCCATCTCTTTAATATGTTCAGGTCTCTCTGCAGGGTCTCCCTGCTTTTGGGGGAGTCAACAGCTCCTTGCAATTTTGTATCATCTGCAAACTTCTTAGTATCCCTCCAAGTCCTGTGTCCAATTCTCCCCAACACTGCCAACACAGGATCATGGCCTGGGGTTCCATATTCATCATTACTGCCCGTGTGGATCCTTTTTATACACATTTATCAGCACCAGACTGGAGCTAATTCTGGAAGGTCTGGAGGACACCCAGCCTGCATTGCTGTCACACACAGCTCCAGCTCCACAGTGCCTAGGAGGGACTCTGGGCAGCTTCTGTGGAGACACATCCAGGAGGCTCCAAAGCATCATGAGCACCTCCAGCCTCATCACAGACACGCTCTTGCTGTCAGAACATAGTCCAGTCATGTGTGTCACCCTGAAACATCAAAGGTGCATTGCTACAGAGACAATCTTGACCACAATCCCGGCTGCAAAACCTGGAATACTTGGTTTTTAAGGTCAACTTTAAACACAAGATATGCTAGTTCTATCAGTTCCTTGCAAAGGTGTGCAGGAGACTAAGAATTTGAATGACCATAACAAATACTTTTACAAGTGTGTGTTGTCATTTTGAAAAATTAAAATTTTAAAAAATTTTAAAAGCCCAACAAAGTAAAAAGACACAGAAGAATAAGGTTGTGTGTATATTATTATTAAAGTTGCAAAATTAATGTTGGGTTTAGACCCTGAGTCTTTTACCACTGGATAAAACAAAAAGCCTGATCAGTATTCTTTGAAAAACCCTTTGCTAAAAGGGTTGGCATTTAAAATGAAAATAACCCCCAACATTGGGGGATTTTTTTGTTGTTTTTGTTTGGTTGGTTGGTTGGTTTTGGGGTTTTTTTGGGCTCTCCTTATGTTAAAGCCATTGCAAATTTGTAGGATAAGAAGAACCTGCAGGAAAATAGTTTGTACCATATGAGCAATGTAGGCTATGTAGGCTGATACAAATTTCATGTATCTTATTTAAAAGTCTTAGTGAGTCACATTAGATTACTTTCTAAATTTATTTGTTGATAGAAGAAAACTTTAAAAACTGCAGAAAACAGCCTGCCATTCAAACATCTAAAAATGAAGATAAGAGGAAGTGTGGATTATCTAGGTATTTAATTCTTAGTTTTTACTAAACTTTAGCAAATAAAATTTTTAAAAATCCAGCTCTTCCTTTATTTCACTTTGGGTTATTTTTTCTAATTAGAAATGCTGAAAAATCCTGAATGGAAGGCTTAATATATAGTGTTTCTGAACTCAACCAAATGAACTAATGAGGAAAACATCCCATCTAATTCTAAAATTTATTTTTTGGTCACAAGAGGTTCACAGAAATTTTGAACTGTGGTTTCTTTAAAGCTGAACCCCTAAACATTTACAGATTAAGTTTTCAATGTATTAATAACACAGCTGTTTAAACAAAAGTGCCATTTTAAGAACTGAACCTAACATTCCAAGTGCAGTGCAATGTGGTCTTCTCCAACATTGCTCCTAAAAAGTCCTTCCCAAGCCTCCAAGCTGTGATTCAGAAGAGGGAGCAGTTCAGGGGCAGCAGCAGGGAGAAGCCCTGGGTCTGCACCCTTTGTGGACAGAGCTGGTGCATCATTAGGTAATACAGGGAAGAATAATTGCTAGAGCCAGGGAAGGACAAAGCCCACACTAATGCTCTGTGAGTCAGCGTGCTCCTCAGCAGCAGCACTACAGACAAACAGCTCTGGGCTCTCTCGAGTGGAGAACGTGGAACTTTGGCAATTTGCTACAGCCCAGAGCATCTCTGCAGTACCACTCACATGCAAATGGAAGTTATGTGTTACAGGAATTTAAAAAACCTAGGGCCCCCTTGTGACTTCTGCTATGCTATATAGACTATAAAATTAGCACTACATAAATGAAAATCACCTCACAAAGGTAAAAGAAACACATTTTTAAGCATCACTGATTAAGAATCTGGAGTTTAGTAACGTTGTTTGCCATCTCAGTTCTGTCATTTTAGTTGCATTAGTTCCATTATTTTCTCCACATCCTTGTTCATACATTACTCTGTCAAACAATGGCCACATCACACCACAGTAGAAACAAAGACATTGACTCATATTGCTTTTAATTAAAAATTAACGTAGACAGGAAACATAACACAGACTCCTTGGCTTTCTGGGAAGAAAATGGGTATGGTGGTTACCACTATGGTCAAAAGAAAACCCCAGCAGAACAGAGCTTGGAAAAAGTAGGTGACTCTACCAACATTTTCCATTTCCAGCTACTCATGTATCAAACATAAATACCAGAGATCAACATAATCCAGTGACCTAAAAATGAGAATTTGTGGTTTTATTTCATTCCCCTGTAGTACAGAATAATTCTTTACGTGATAGTTGCCATTTCTTCATCAAGTATTATTGGAAAACCACCTATGCATCTTCTTTGGAAAAACCTGGAC